AATCTTGCCATGCTGAGAGAGCAAGTTTCCACTAGAATCTCACCAACAGCCTAATCTACCTCCCTAATCCAAGTATATTAACCTAGTCACTGTATTAGTACTTCTGCAGTATTGTGATGGATACACTGGATCTTGGGAACAGGCCTTAGAGGCCTGTGTCTTCTGCAGTACCTTCCTTTCAATGAAAAACATGGAAGAGTCTAACATTGCTGTGGAGTTAGGGGATTTTAAAACTTAGAATAAGTAGCAAATGCAATATGTAATGTCCTGGAAGCAACAACTTTGTCATAGATAGTCTGGGATTTTCTTTGCAGTTGTGTTAATTCTTGATTTGAATGAAGAATGCATCACAGCCTTTGTGAATAAAGATAGGGAAAAGGGAGAAATGAATTTCCGGGGGTAGAAATGAGCTGTGTTATTAACAACTAATATGGCTAAAATTATTGAAATCATTGAATTTTAAAAAATATAATGTGCACAGGGGCATTCATTTTAGGTATGTGGGATAAAAATTATTGAAAGTCATTCCAAAGATTATTGATCCTATAATTGCTGATATGTTTGTCGATATTTAAAACATCTGTTTTGTCCATCATCCATATGGCCTCTGTAATAATTTCAGAAACATGACCCTCTATTTTTAACTAACCCTTAGTGATGAAAATTCGAGTTGATTGTAATTACTTTCAATATTCATGATAAGGTTCCTGGCAATTCTGAACAGAAGATCATCAATTGTTGAACAAGTAAAAATATGTGATGAAAATAAAAGTTTATTTTTTAAATCATGTTAAAAATAACCGTTCTTTACCCCACTTTATTTTATTTTGCTTTATTTTGTGTTGCTCTGCATTGCTTTGTGTTGCTTTGCTGACGGCTATGCCTCTACTACTTGGACTATCAAGTGATCAAGAAATGCAGGGAGATATAACATTTGCACAGGATAAGAAGCTGTCTAGGAATTAAATAGGCACTTAAAAATTAGAAGGGGGAATTCTTTGTTTCCTTAGTTTGCAATTTTATTATGAAGTAGCTAGCCTACTATAGTTGAAATTATGTTTCACTGAAGACAAGGGTGACAAATAATACTTGCAGGAACAGCAGTAGGTAGTTTCAATATTGGATGTCTTGCCCTGGGTGATAAATGAGATGAGAGTAAATGTTATAATATTAAAATGGATACTAGAACACTCATTGAGAACCTGGATGAGATATGACCAGAAAGGCAATCCAGACTTCTTGCCACTCCAGTAATTTGCCATAGGAACTTTGTTGAATTAATCAGGAGAGTTAAGTTATGAGATGTAAACAATTGTTATAGATTTAGAGACCTGTTTCCCACTAAAAAAATTATTTCTAAAGAACTGCAAATAAATAACCAGTGGTCACTGACCTGATGTCAATATTTTTAAATGAAACCATTTATTTAGGAAGGAATAAAAATTACACAGCCAAGGAACTGAACTTTCTGAATCATTACAGTAAATCCTTCAAAATAAACAAACAAACTTGAGGAACAGAATAAGGAATGCTAATTGAAGAAAAAGATTGAAGGAATATTTTCAATATCAGCAAACAGTTCTTAACCTGTGCAAAAGTGAAAGCCCAAGCCGGAATTAAGATTGCCAGAAGAAATATGAACAACCTCAGATATGCAGATGATACCACTCTGATGGCAGAAAGTGAGGAGGAACTAAAGAAACTCTTAATGAGAGTGAAAGAGGAGAGCGCCAAAAATGGTCTGAAGCTCAACATCAAAAAAACTAAGATCATGGCCACAGGTCCCATCACCTCCTGGCAAATAGAAAGGGGAGATATGGAGGCAATGACAGAGTTTACCTTCCTGGGCTCCATGATCACTGCAGATGGTGACAGCAGCCATGAAATTAAAAGACTCCTGCTTCTTGGGAAGAAAGTAATGACAAACCTAGACAACATCTTAAAAAGCAAAGACATCACCTTGCCAACAAAGGTCCCCATAGTCAAAGCTATGGTTTTTCCAGTAGTGATTTATGGAAGTGAGAGCTGGACCATAAGGAAGGCTGACCACTGAAGAATTGATGCTTTTGAATTATGGTGCTGGAGGAGACTCTTGAGAGTCCCCTGGACTGCAAGGAGAATAAACCTATCCATTCTGAAGGAAATCAACTTTGAGTGCTCACTGGAAGGACAGATCCTGAAGCTGAGGCTCCAATACTTTGGCCATCTCATGAGAAAAGAAGACTCCCCAGAAGAGACTCTGATGATGGGAAAGTGTGAGGGTAAGAGGAGAAGGGGATGACAGAGGACAAGAGAGCTGGCAGTTTCATTGAAGCTACCAGAATGCATTTGACCAAACTATGGGAGGCAGCGGAATACAGGAGAGCCTGGCGTGCTCTGGTCCATGGGGTCACGAAGAGTCAGACACGACTAAACAACAAAGTGAAAGGGTATAATTTGTAATTCTCTCTCTTGATAGCCTGATTGCAGAAAAATGACAGCTGGAGATGTTAGATGCAAGTTTATGCCATGTTTTCTGTAGCTGTCTGGAATTGCAATCATGTTAGATTAAAATTATCAGATAATAAGCAGATAATAAGAATTAGATTGTAGTGATCTGCATTAGTAATACTACTTAATTATGTAGCATATGTTTCCAGTGTACATCAGGTATACTTGATTGCTACTCTGCCACAAAGATACTTTCAACAAGATATTGGAGGGCTACCAGAATTCCAAATACTAGAGAATAGCTTTTTAATATAATAGCACTTGTTTGTATTGAGACATTGGCAGAAATTGTGAATCAAAGAAATGGGAAGACATTTTATCTGAGTTATTTTCAAAATGTATTCCTTTTCTTATATTGGAGCAGAGTCTCTCACTTCGGTAACTCTTTATGTGTATGCCAATGTGGTGTCAAGTGAGTTTGGGTGACCTTATGAATTAGTGACCTCAAAAAGTCCTACTGTTGAACTGCCCAACTCAACTCATGACAGAGGATTCTTTTATTAAGTCAGTCTTTCACCTCCTTGTCCTAACAGTATTGTATTTGCCTTGTAACTTTAAAAAAAAATTAAAAATGTAACTTAGATATATTGAGGAAATATATTGATCTCATCTGACTGGAAATGCTGTATATCTCTGAAGAATTTTATTCAGATTGAACAAAATGGCTTATTTTTGCTATCATGTTCTTCATATTTATAACTGACATTTGGATAAGAGAAAGCAGAATAAATAAAATTGTATTATCTTAATGTATTGTATAGTGAAAACAAATGCATGAGATGAAAAGCCCATACAGCCAACTCAAAAGAGACATTTCGCATAGTTGCTCTGCTCAGCCAAGCTGATTACTCTCCAAGCCAAGAAAGAACAATGCCAGGATTGTATGGTTGCTTGAACCTTTTGTCATGAAGACACATTACCATTTGGCATGCTTGTGTTCTATCTAGGTAATCATGGCTTCACATGCCAAATAATTATTTCCTTCTATATGGAACAATTCACATAATTTGTTCTTTATCACACTGCAATCAGGAGTGGAAAACAGAGCATGACCTGCACAGAGTGGTCATCATCAGCTGAGAATCTGAAATGATGTCTTTGTTACAGTGCTACTCCTTGCATAAACCACAGCAGAAAACTACAAGTTTTGACAGATTACTCAAACTTGCAAGCTTTCACCCAACTTCTTGTCCTGAAGCACTGCAAATATTTGTGGTTCCATTGTAGATGTTGGGATTTTCTCTAATACCTGATTCTGTGCAGACAATTTCACATCTGAATTTAATATGTGCTGCTGTTAATGTGGATGTAACCACAGTAAACATGACACCAAAGATTTAGCTTGGGATGCTGTGCAGACTGTATCCTTAGAATATGTCAAGAAGAAAATGTTCCTCCTTATACTTACTTGACAGAAAGAGGGCAACAGGGCTTGGATGTGCATAGAAATCATGCCTTTCTTAGAACTATTTCTTCATCAGATTTTAGACACTAGAGGAAGACTAACATTTGTGAAGTATTGGGTGGAAGTGGCTACTCATATCTCTGTCTGTCTCTCTGTCTCTCTGTCTATCTATCTTTAATCTAAAACTTAATCTGAAAGCCTGTGGTTATTGCAAAGCGATACTTGTTCAGGTGGTTGCACTGTAATTTAACATTTATTATATGTGAAGGAACCAAATAGGTGGCACAGTAAGAATTTCATAGCTTTAGATTAAGCTATGGCATTGTTGCAGGACATGTAATAATGGGGTCAAAGTACAGGAAGCCAGATTTAGGTTGAATATTAAGAAAATCGTCTTAACTCTCAGAGCAGTACAACAATGAAACCAGTTACCTCAGGAGCTGGCGAGTGTTCCAGCCTAGAGGCATTCAGAAGAAAATTAGCCAGCCATCTATCAAATCTGCTTTGAGTTGGATTTCTACATTAAGCAGAGAGTTGGACCTGATGGCCTTACAGGCCCCTTCCAACTCAATTCTGTGATTCTGTGATATCTACCTCACTGTAGTTTTATAAATCATTAGTTAGAAGACAATTAAATGCCCCCTCTCTCAAAGCAGTAGCTGATAAACTGTTATGCTGCACTAAAATGGTAGTGGCAGGTATAAGGCTCACTAAATCTACTTTATTTTAAAGTAGATTTTAAGATTGAGCCTGACATCCAGCAAAGAAGTTATTCAGCCTCTAGTTACCTTGACACTTGGCATTTACAATAAACATTATCACCACCTCTTAGAACTAGATTAACATTTCTTATTGTAGCTTTTACTTTTGGATGCCACTGGAAGGATGCAATTTTAATTCTTCCTAATCCAATTTAAATGCAAATGTTAACCACTCACATGATGGCACGTGTACATAATTAAGTGTCATTATATACTACACGAATCATTCAGAAAACTCCAGAGATTTTTTTTTGCATGCCTTAAGCTGGAAAGCAGCCAAGTAGTTTGCATTTTATTTTCCTTTGATATTTATGCCTACTTACTAAAGTTCTCTAAAATTATAGGTCAACAGATTATGGGACAACATATGAAAAGCTGAATGACAAAGTGGGCCTGAAGACCATCCTGAGCTACCTCTATGTATGTCCAACTAATAAACGCAAGGTAAGTGAAATAAGTGATTGCTTTTAAGCATAACTCAGTGTTTCCCTTCTCTTGTTAGTTACATAAACAAAAGCAGGCGCTTACCATTTGGATAATCTTGAACCTTCTGTTCAATGTTCACTGAATTCTGATTCTGTCTTTTGGGACGAATGGTGATCTCTCATCCATGACATGGCCTTATAATATAGCCTTCATCACAAATTTTGTGAGAGCATATGGAAAAAAGGAGCAAACACTCTATCCACATTCTTCTTGCATGCAGAGGAAAGAGTGTAGAATAGCTTTACATATGTACAACTTGTGTGCATACAGTGAAGCGCATTTACAGTTGCACTGCAAATGGCTAGATACAGTGGTATCTAGGATTCTGAGCAGAACTTGAGCAGAACTCACAGATGGCAACGGCTGAGCAAGCCATAATAGTGTTGTTCTCTATGCTTCATACATGTTCAGGGTACATGTTGAGAACGTGAGAAATTATATCCGTCCAAACTTGCAACTGGCATTTGGGAATAGCTTTGTCTGTGCAGCATTCCATGTCTAAGTCGCACTGGCCATGTGACCATGGAGGATTGTCTTCGGACAAAACGCTGGCTCTATGGCTTGGAGACGGGGATGAGCACCGCCCCTTAGAGTCGAACACGACTGGACAAAAATTGTCAAGGGGAACCTTTACCTTTACCCTTTGTCTGTGCACTTTACCAAAATGACACAAAGAGCTTTGGATCAAGGCTGCAAAATTTGGTACTCTTTGGTACCAAAAGACAACCAACAAAGCCTACATTGTAGGAAGGGGAGAGCTGCTGTTTTCGCACCTAAGACTAAGGAGAAAGTCAAATTGGTGGCATTGGCTGCCCTCATGAAATCAGTGATCACACAATTTGACTTCTTCCTTAGCATTGGATAAGAAAACAGCAGTTCCTCACCTTCCTGCAGGGTAAGCGTTGTGAATCGTCATTTGGTACCAGCTGGATTGTTTGATTTCTTTCATCTGATGATTATGCAGAGTTTCCTTCCTTCCTTCCTTCCTTCCTTCCTTCCTTCCTTCCTTCCTTCCTTCCTTCCTTCCTTCCTTCCTATCATGGCATGAAGCCTTTTGGAATTTGATGTGATGGTGTGTTTGGATCCTTCAGGGTGCCACTATAGAGCAGTAAATTGGATCTGCTGTGATCCACATTTTTTCAAACTTGGTTTCCATTGATGAAATTGTTGTAGTTTGCAGGAACCAGCAGATGGAAGCTGCTTTTGACAAGATGCTAGTTGTCAATTTCCTCCTCTTTTTTAAAATTTCCTTTTTCTGAAGTGACGTAAGGACACAGTATTCCAAGCCTTGCCTTGAACATTTAAACACACACACACCAGGTCAGGCAATTACACAGGGCAGAAACCAAACAAAAGCAATGTCAATCCAAATGGAGAATATTTAAACCACCCTGTCTGCTGAACAAAAAGCATCATAAGGCTGTAAGCAACTTGGAAGTTGAAGGGGAAATTTCTCTGTCCTCCTCTATTCAAGCAGAATCAAGGGTTGTAGGAATTAGAATAGCATCATTAGTGGTTTCATTAAGTGAGGCTTATAAGAAATGCCTATTGGTGCCACTTCTAGGAAAGGAAAAGTATTTTGGGTAGCTTTGGGTAAAATTCAGAAATATGCCCAGAAATAAACCAAAACATTTTATGCTTATTGCTTCCCCGCCCATGTTGGTTAATTTTACATGCATCTGAATCTTCTCGTTCTAGTTCATGTTTATATTCCTGTGGTCATTAGATTAAAAATACAAGACATTAATTCACCTGCTTCTTACCACCTTGTATAATATATGAAGCTCCTTTAACCTGCCTGAGAATAAAGTCTGCTCCCATTTTTTCCCCTTTTGTTGTTTAAACACAAGAAACACAAATACAGGGTGGGTAGATTCCTTAATATAACCAACAAGTAGGCATGTGAATCGTCCACAAATTTATTAGTCCAGAACTTAAGAAAATGTAACAGCATGTGATGACTACTTCCTTAAAAATTGATTTTCATATATTGAATTTTTACAAGTCTAAATGTGGTATGCAAATTACAGCTATATCCCAAATCTTGTAGAAAGACCCTGTCATAATTTTGTACAGATGAAGTGGAATAGTTCTTGAACAAAGTGAGTTATATAAATTGGGGAGGATTACTCAAACTTTGATCTTACAAAAGTGAATTAAATTAAACTGAATTACACTATTGCACACTGCCGAACATTAATTATACTGAATATGTCTGTGTCATCAATCACATTTTTTATTATTATCAACAAATTGATTTACTACCACTTCATCTTGTTATGATATCAATTACACCAAACCCATTTAGTGAAAGAATTTAATATAGCTGCTGACCTACAGACTGCTTATTTAAAAGTAAACAATATACAGTGCCAATCCTATACAAGTTTATATGGAAATACATGCAAGTAAGGATTTTGTTACAGTTCCTAATAAAAATCAACTGACATTCATGAACATGTTCGAGTTCAGGATGGAAACAACTTGAGTTTTTAAATATATTTGGATTGATAAATTTGTGCACGATTCACATGCCTACTCATTGGTTATTTTAAGGACTCTACCCACCCTGTGGGTACGTGGTGGTGCTGTGGGTTAAACCGCAGAAGCCTCTGTGCTGTAGGGTCAGAAGACCAGCAGTCATAAGATCGAATCCATGCAACAGAATGAGCTCCTGTCACTTGTCCCAGCTCCTGCCAACCTAGCAGTTCAAAAGAATGTAAAATAAAAGTAGATAAACAGGTACCACCTTGGTGGGAAAGTAACGGCGTTCCGTGTCTAGTTGCGCTGGCCACGTGATCACGGAAACTGTCTTCAGACAAACGCTGGCTCTACGGCTTGGAAATGGGGATGAGCACTGTGCCCCAGAGGTGGACATGACTGGACTAAATGTCAAGGGGAACCTTTACCTTTATCTTTACCCACCCTGTATTTCTCTTTCTTGTGTTTAATACAACACATGTTTTGGTCACTCATATAGTTGAATGAAATACTTTACAGAGCAGTGGGTGATTTTTAATATCTTCCTGCTAACTTTATGAGAGCCTCATAAAGCCACAACATTTGAAACTAGAAGATTCAGAGCAGTTGTTTTATTTTCATGTTCTGTAAATAGTTCATGATGTTGCTCTAGAATGTATCAACTCTACATAAGGTAGTTCTGGCAGTTTTGTCCCGCTTTATCAGCCATGGATTCAGCTTATGGAATTGTGAGGGACTTGGAATTCTGTGCTAGAGAACCACAGTTCAGGGAGTGTCTTAGACCTTTCTTGTACAGAGTTCTAAGTATCCCATTAAGCTGAAGTTCCTAGGATTCCATGGGATAGAGCCTATCTAGGATGATAGTTTAACTGCTATCATGCTCCTAGATCTGAGTATTGTAGAAACACTTCTTAGTGAATGTGATCTGTCCACTGACAGAAGTTCCTACATGGATCTTTTATATATTGGGCATAAGACATCCATTGGGAGGGGAAAACCAAGGAATTTCATAAAGTACCACCAGTCATGCCATCTAGCATGATTAGATGGAAACAAATAATCTAATTATCTACCCCGCCTGTTTTTTTTTATATTTTAAATACGTATGCCTTCTTTTAATTTAAGTGTGTCAATACAAAGTTAAGAAGGGAGTTTGGAGAAACCTCATTAGAGAAATACACCAGAAATGGATAAATGGTACAAACTCTGAAGCCCTTTCATGCCTCCTGAATGAAGATGAACTCATTGTTTGGAAAGGAAAAAGTCTCATTAAGATGTTGGAATGACATTTATAGAGGCCAGATTGTATTTAAAGTTGTTTGCCTTTTAAGTACTCCCAATAGTGAACTGAAAAGGATTTCACAAATCCTGCAGAGAAAATGCATCCCAAAGCCTGGAAGGTTTTAATCATATGAGCACCCCACTGAGCAACAATTTACCAAGGATTTGTAATAGGGAAGTACTCATAAAAGGCAAGTGGTTATTTCTCTCTCCCTCTCCATGTGTATATGAACAATTTATTGTAGAAAATAAATTTAGGCAAGGATCAGGTTTGGTTTTTTTTTAAGAGTGATAAAAGTGGCATGGGAGAAGTTTCAATTCCTGTGGTGCATCTACATATTTACGTGCACACACACATTTATATAGTTAAAACTTAGAAATATCTTCATGCATGTTTAGATCTGGAGCTTCTCGGGATGCTGGGAAACACAGCTGCTTTTAGCTTTTTCCCCCCGCTGTCTACCACATACCAATACAGTATTCTAAATCTCCAATCCTTTCTGCTCCACTTAAGAAAGGCAATTTGCAATATTTTTTTTGAGAAAGCAAACTAAACAAAATAATTGTAATCCAGATAGATATACTGACCAGTCATTTTCACGTCGGAAGGACAGTTTTCTTCTTTCCTATCATATAGCTGGCAAAAAAACTGTCAGAAGAAATATAGTAGAAAAAAATCAAACGTTCAAGAAAAAAAACATTGTGGCACCTAAAAGACTAATGGCTATATGAGAGTTCATTAAAATATAGCAGTTAGTCCTTAAGGTGTCAGAAAGGTTTTCTCTGTTTTTGCTTTTCTTTCGGGTCTGATATGCTTGCATGCCTATAACATGGCTACTTCTTTAAATATCACATCTCAAAAAAAGAGATGGAGCCACCATAATTCAATATTATAGTCATAATGCTCATCCAGACAAAAAGATGTATTCCTTTCCCCTTTGTGCTGATTAATATCAAATGAACTGGATTTTACCATGGTTTCTATTAACACTTACCAGTAAAATCTTACTTCTCTTTTTTTAAAAAATAATCAACATATTTTAAAGACATTGAACAAAATATTTCAAAAAGCTTGGGAAAAGTCTTTAAAAGTAATCTCCCAGTGTTTATTTCTTTGTGCTAACATTAAAAGCTTCTTGTCTGAGCCCTTTACAATGGTGATTTGCACCACTACTACTATACTTTGGTACATCAAG